CTGAGTTCGGCTGATTTAGTATTCTATTTATGACATGATGAAATGGCTTCTTGTCCTCTCTTCATATTCCTCATTTTGTTGGTTGTTTTGTTTTTCCAATTTAGGTTTCAAGAAAATGTACCAGAAATTGCTTTCTTTCAAGAGATTCCTCAGTATATGACTACTTTGAATTCCCTGTTGAACATCACTGAGAATTTAACAGATTCTAGCAAGCAAGGTAGTCTTCTGTATACTTTACAATGTTGGTAAACATCATCACTGGTACCATACTTCCTGTTGGAAATCCTGAGACTTGCTTAGCTGCCAGAAAGAAGTGATATTAATGACATAATCATACATCATGTCACATGTCCTTTTTCTAAGATAGTTCTAGAGCCTGTTCTAGACTACTCTTTGTTTTCCGTTCAGCCCAAGTGGTCCTATGTGCTGAAAGACCCAAATCTTTGTATTTGAGTCATTTTTGCTATCACTAGATCTGTCAACTTCAGCCCATACATTGGACTGTAAAAGCTAGGAAATATGTCTGTAGTTTGAAGTTGTTTGGTTTGGGTTTTTTTTGTAAACAGCAGTGATGTACCATACTTCCATACTTAAACTAAAGTCCTCTGTGTGTGCTTGAGATTGCTGCATGTCTGAAGAAACCTGTTAAATCAATTGTTCTTTGATTGTTCTTCACAGAGAAGTTAAGAGATGTGCTTAAAAATGTGGATCAACTCAAAGAGGAACTCAGAAACACATCAGGAATGTCCACAGCCAGTATTGATGCTCTTCTGGAAGCATCTCTGCCAGAAAACAGCAGTCAGGTAAGTTTGTTGTCTCCCAGTGGGAGATATTGTTCCTTTCTACCACTCAGACCATTAAAACCAGAATTTGTTAGTGAATGCAGTTGAGCAGATCACTCCACACGTGGAGGGAGGTGGGTGATCCCACAAGGATAGACAGCGTAGCATGTTATGGATTAAAATAGCCATCAGAAATGCAGTAAGGGCAGTTGTTGACGTCAGTTCAGCCGTTGGAGACCAAGAGCCATATGGTTTCCTTGGCTGTCACTGGTAGCTGGTAAGCAGCCACACAGTGCCTGGTGAGTGATTGCTCTGACCCGTAGCCAGGGCACAGTTCACTGCAACGGACTAATGAGGACTGAGTGGGGTCCTTGGAGATGAGATGATGCCGTCCAGATGGAAAAGCACACTTCTGACCACAGTTTGTGAGAGCACTCAGCATCCCAGAATAGCCTCCCATAATGAGAGATGAGCTTGCCTTCCTCAGCCTCCTGTGCAAGCAGAGCTCCAAATGCTTTTCTCCTTCCCAGCCATCTAGTCTGGACTGCCCCAAGGAGCGCACTGTTTTCCAAACTTCATGTGCATCAGTCAATGGGAAAGGGGAAAGTCACAAAAGCTTTTACTACTGTGCAAGCTGGGCAGTAAAACACAGTCCTGAGGATTTGTCCCTTGGGGCAGGAGTAATGGGTAGGCATTTTCAGGTTCTCAGGGTTGAAATATGGCACTGTAGAAAGAACAACAGCAAGGCGAGATTGATCCATGCATACTGGAGCAAGTGGTTTACCCCTCACAAATCTTCTCTTCCTTTCTGCAAACATAGCTCATTTCTCAGATCCTCCAGCTGGAATCTTGTAGCGTCCATCCTGCTGACCCAGAGCTGGAAAGAGTAGCAGAGGAGTTCTGCAATCTCTCCCTTTCGGAGAGGACGCGGGAGACGTACATCCTGGGGGTCACTTTGTTACAACACTTGGATGTTTACAATTTCTTATACAAGGTTAGTGCTGGATTTGTAGAGTGCTTTCTGTAGTCTTTGCTGCATGTAGTGGCTGAAAGATCATAAAATACCATTCCAGTGGCCAGAAGCTATGCTGATTTACACAAGCCAAAGACCAGGCTTTGCACATGCAGTAATTTTTATTGCGTAGCCATGCTGTGACAGTGTGGATATAAATGAGGATCCCAGCTGGTGTAAACCAGCAAACCTCATTTAAAGGCACCGGACTTACTCTAAATGCCTCCCTCTGCTAGTATCATTTATATCCTGTCACAACCTTTTGAGCCTTCCCAGCTGAGTTCCAGCTTCCCAAAAAGAAGGTGTTTGGCTTTGTATATATATGTATATTTTATTCCTTGGAAAAGGAGACCCTGGAAAAAATCCTGTGAAATATATTTTTCCAGTCTTGTTGGCACTGCCAAGTTATTAAATGATTCAAATATCCCACACATACAACTATATAAACAGCATGAACAAATACAATTCACAGAGAAGTTTTTATTGAAAGCCTATTTTAAAATGCTACAGAAGTGATCCTCGGGGAAAAAAAAAAATAAATGAGAATGCCAATGAATTTGGCTCAGGTCAAAAGTCAGTCATAGTGACATCTACGTCGTTTGACATCTACGTTGTGCGAAATGCCACCTCTTAGAGACTCAGGTTGTATCCCAGCTAACAGCTGATACTCATTTCCCAGCTGGAAGTGTTTGGAAACAAGCACTGTTCAGAACACATAAGTTTCGGGGGACTGGTTTGCAAAAGCACTTGGGGATTTAAAAATACAAATCCCATTCATTTCCCATGGGACATCTGCTCTCTAAGCCTCCTAAAAGGTTTGAAAACCCTACAGTCTTTGTCTTGGAATTTACACAATATAGGTGTGTACATGTCTGTGTGCACAGATTCCTGCCAATCATAACTGATTTCCTTCCTGAATCTTGCAGATGTTTTTCCCTAAGGAACTCCAGAAACCCATGGACAAGATGTTAGGCCTTCTGACAAAACTGAAATATTTCAGACTCCAGGTTGAATCTGGTGCTGATCCATTGCTACAAGCTATTCATTCACTGAAGAAGCTCCGGCAGTCTAGAAATGTGCCACTGACTAAGGTACGTGTTGTCTGCATGTGCTTTGGAGGCAAAACACCACTAGAACTGTTCCCATGGGAATTAGAAGCCAAAGGTGCATTAAATTATACGTTACTGAGTCTCTTTTAAAGCAGCAGTGTTCTAAGAAGAATCTCTATCAAACTTACATGTTGCCTTCCTGGGAGAGCTTTGATTTGGACCTGTGGGACCAGCTCATGATAGGGGTGACACTAGGAACAAAATTGCAGGGAATGAACAACTGGTTTCAAGGAAGGTAGACTTCAACAAAATACTGGAGGTCAGCTTGTGAAAGCAACTGGTGAACTGCCCACTGAAGCCTATCCAAAACCACAAAGACAACAACAAAAATCTACTCTAGCTTTAGTATACATTAGATCACACCCAAAGCCCCCAGACTGCCCAGAACATTCAATACACACCCACTCCAGCTCCAACAGCTGCAGTAACTTCAGGTTGCACTAACTTATCCAGTCCCTCGTTTCTGGTCATCACTTTGCACACTGCAGGACCACATGCAGTCACGGACTAGAAGGGAAGAAGGGATGTGCACGTCTGTGTGATAAATCCTGTGTTGTAACTCAGGGTCTACATGTGTCACCAGGCACAGCCACATTGGATCTCATACCTGGAATTGAATTCACCACCTCTGTCATAGCAGAGGTTAGCCAAAAAAAGCATGATTTCCATGGAGAATCCCCCTTTTTTTTTGCAAAGACAAACTTCTTAGAAGAAAGCAGTGTAAAAATGTTCATTCCTTGCCATCTGATTCTTTATTTCTTTTTTTTTTATTATTTGCATTTTGTCTTTTCTGCAGGCATTATTTAAACCAACCGATCTGAGGGGAACACGTGGCACATTTAAGTCCATGTCAAAAGTTCTCTGCAACCAGGACATCACACCCCTGTTTTTTGAGTCCTTGCTTCCAGATTTTGGAGACCCTGTAAGCAACAGTTCTTCTATGGAGGATGTCTATGTCCAAAAGATGATGAGTAAATATGGAATTCCTCATGACTCCAGTAAGTGTGGCTTTTCCTTAAAGCAGAAACACCGCAGAGCCAAACTCTACTGGTTCCAGAGAGATCCAGTGCTGAGCTGTTCCCCTGAATGTGTCTGGAGGGCTCTAAGCACTCATGATTTATGCTAGCTGAAGATCTGCACTGCCCTAATTATTGGTGGTTTGTTTCCAGAAGTGTTAAAAGGAAAATAGCTCATGTAGCAGAGATGCTGCACTTTTTCCCATTTGTTAATGGCCTGGTCTGAGGGCTTGACAGGTCACTGCTTTTTCTTGATGAGTAGTTTTTCCAACTGTACTGACATTATTAGCTCCTCTGAGTTCACAAAACTCCATTTAACCTTCAAGCAGAGAATCTTGGCTTGAAAACTGAGACTCTTGTCTTGAGTTCAGCAACAGGAGATCTTGGGCATGGATTTCTTTTGTCAAGGCATATTATATCAGTCAGTGAAGACGACTCTGAAGTCATTCACTGGACGCAGCAACAAACTGGGCAGATGGGAAAATACACACTGGTAGCTTTCTCGAGTCAGGGCTATTTGTGCTCTGTGCAATCTGTTTGCTTTTCTCCCTTGCAGCGCCATTTTGCTTATCCTTTTACCTGGACCTGGTCAAGACCCCGACTGGAGCTTTAATTTGGTCTTTTTTAAAACCAATGGTGCTTGGGAAGATCCTTTATACCCCAGATACGACAGAAACTCGAGCAATCATGGGAAAGGTAGGGCTCTGTCTACCTTACATCAGGATACGTCCACTCAAAAGGATTGTAATTTATCTAGTACGGGCTTGTTTCTTTGAGATGCAGAAATCTGTTTTCTGACTGTTCAGAATATTAGTCAAATTATCTTTTTCTAGTTGCATTGCTGATCATCTTTTGTCTTGGGATGAATCTTACCTCCAAAAATTCTACCCATAGTAAAAAGGGAAGCTGATATCCAAGACGTATTCAAAATGTGGCCAGATTTTTAAGTACCTGCATCCAAATTCAGCGTTTGGGTGCTAAGAAAAGCCCTAAGGAAACCAAATTTGTTGTTAGCTGTTTTATTGATGTGTTTATTTTTAAAAAGCTTTAAGGTAATGAATAACTGAATCCTGATGTGTTGTGGGTCCTTTTGTAGTCTAATGCGACCCTGAAGCAGATGGCTGATCTAGCCCTTAAGTCCCAGGAGTGGTTGGACAAGTCTCCTGTCATCATGAATTCACTGGCAAAGTTAAACCAGACAATTCCAATGATCAAGGTATGAGAATCCTCCCTTTCCTGTGTCTCTCATGGGAGGGAATTGTGGGAGTGGACTTCTTCACTGAAATAAACTGTGGTTCCAAGGACCTCAGGGACATCTTAGGTCAGCTGAGGAGACCCTTCTCAGGCTTTACTCCTGGACTTCACAGTTTCAGTGCCTGCCTGTCTGTTCCCGTAACAGAAATACTCCTGATGCGCTTTTCCATGCAAATCCTCTTTCTGAAGTGATCTGTTTGTAAAATGCTCCCTGACACTGGCCATGCTGAGGCCTGCTGGAGGGCTGAGATGTGCAGGGAATGCTCTTCAGTTTGCAAATTAACTTTCTGCTTGATGGAGTGATCCAGCCAGCCAAGACCAGGCAAGAAATGACTTTTTCAGAAAATGAAACAGTATCTATAATAACCATGTAGCTCTGGGTACACACATAAGAGCTAGAAGATGTCTTTGTACCTCAGTGAATGTAAATAAAATTTCTTTTTCCCTTCCTAAGAAGCCTACACTTGCTTGGATACAGAAGGGAGCTGGCTGTAAGGTTTCACGTACTTGCTTCCTTTTCTCTGCAGTAAAAATTGTCTCCTTTTCTTGCAAAGCTATGAAAATGAAATCTTTGGAACCCTAAAGCATTAGAAGTTAATTTCAGTGTCTGGAATTCATTGTCATTTCCATGGCACTGAGAGAAAATCCATCCTGGAATATGCAAAAGTGAAATGAAGTACTCTCTGCTGACTGTGTTCATTGGTGGAATAATGAACTGTTCAACTAAACAAAAATCTGTCTGCTGGTCTCCACGCTAAAATTTGGTCACTGACCCATTGTGCTCTGGCTGTGTTCACAGGACTGAAAACAGACATAAGTGAAATCAAGTGTACTTTTAGAGTAACAAAGTTTATCCACAATTTTTCCACGGGACTAGTGACTGGTGGAGACTCAATAGCTGTCTTCTGCTGACTAAGAAGCACTGGCTTGGACTCACAGGGCTCTGTATGACATTTTCATAGCTAATATTTCCCCACCCTGATACACAGAGTGGAATACAGAAGATCAGGAAAGGAGTAGGGGAGAGTTGTACAGATGCTCAGTGAAGGCATCTGGTCTGTTTTAGAAATACACTGAATAAGCTCATGGGGCTTCTGGTCAAACTGATGGTTTTCCTTTTTGCTTTTTCATAGAACACACTGCAGAATCCCTTTGTGCAGGTTTTTATCAAGCTGATGGTGGATTTGGATGCAGCTGAATTGCTGAATCAAATAAATGAGCTGGGTAAGTTCTACATTTGCTGCCCTCTTATTTGTACTTCAGGTCTGGTGACTCTCCAGAGTCACCAAACTGCAGCCATTCTCTGGTTCTGCTCTTCTCTGGCCAATATTAGATGCTTTAGTGCAAAGCAGTCTCGGCTGTGATTCAAAAATCTTGTGGTCTATGGGAAAGGACTCTTCGAAAGCAAAGGGCTTGTATGGAGAGGTGCTTCTCATGAATGATGAAGGAATACTAGGACGGGAATCTGCAGCTGAGTATGGCCACTGGAGGACACTGTTTAGCCATAATTATCACTTCAAATGAGCTACCTGGGACTCTCCTGGGAAATGTTGTAGGGAGCTCATTGGCAACACATCAGGGTCCAACTTAAAAGATTTCCAGAGCAGAAAAGCAAGGGATCAGATAAAGGTCCCCAGGCTGACGAGTAGCCAGAGGCTTCATTACAGGGGATGCTTTGCTAGAATTTGCTGCTCTCTGGTGATCTTTTATGGTCCCTCAAGGTTAGTTGCTGATTTGCACTGTGGGAGTCATCAGCTAACAGCAGTGGTGGATACATCCACTGTTAGTGCACAGCATGGGGATCACAGTCCTTTCCTAGCTGGTCTTATTGTCCCTACCTACTTTTTCAATGAGTGCCATACACGTCCACGTAAATTTGGGTTATGCCAGCAAAACCCAGCAGAAACCAAGGGCGGTTGTTGTCTGTTGCAGTCAGAGGGATATTTATACACCGTTCATGATGACCCCTGGTTATTTAATGAGTAGCATCTTCTGTCTTTTAACTCCCCATAAAATCATCGTGCCTGCAGCAGCTGTTCCATATTAGTTACACCGCATTCTGCAGCCACCTTTTAAACCAGCCAGGAAACAGCAGCTTTATTCAACTGCATCACCAGGTTTAGTACACCCATCAGCACAGCAGACATAACTTTTCCTTGATCTGCTTGGATAAAGCACACTCTCCCCTGAGACAGAGCAGCTCAACATGAGTTGATCACATCAATAACCATAAGATGTGGAATGACTGGCGAGGATCATATGTGACTCTAAAGCCTCAGCAGCTTCTGATTTGGGATGACTGTCACATCCCATTGCTGGCATCCTCCCAAAGGCAAACTCACGAGCATATTACAAATGATTAACATAAAAATTGGGTCAACAACATGCCTTCATTGCACTGCTAAGTGCAGAAATGTATTTTACACTTAACATGATGGGGTTTTTTCCTTCCTTTCTGATGTTATTGTGAAGAGTGGAACGATGTGATGGATCTTTCGCAACATGTAGTGATACTGCTGGTTTTGTTTGTGGTTTTGTTTTTATTTTCCAGATGATATTCGGCTGGAATTACAGAACAACGCTGACATTGTCGATCAGCTGAATACATTAGCTACCCTTGCTGTAAACGTGTCCTCCTGCGTCTCATTTAATCGCATTCAGGCAGTCAGAAGCTTAGAGGAGATGGAAATGGTGGCTAAGGAGCTCTTTCTGAAGAACGAGCTTTTCGCGAGTATGTGATTGTCTTTGAATCCTCCTGTAAATTAAAGTTAGCCTGGTACAGGGTGGGAGCCTAGCATAAGAACTCTGGCTTTCCACCAGCAGCTGTTGTGGTCACAGTTCCCACCACACAGCAATCAATTTTGAGGCGGTGTGTGAGGGACCTGCACACCGAGACCTCCTTATGTGGCAGTTTTACGCTTTCCTTTTCATACCTCCTCTTCTCTTACACCTCTGTGGTCTCTATAAGAAAGCATTTGGTCAGCTGGTGTTTTCTCTTGGTTAATTCTCAGTTTGAACACTGTTTCATTGCCCTTAGGAGATCTTAGAATCACAGAATAGTTTGAGTTGGAAGGGACCTTAAAGATCATCTACTTCCAACCCCCCTGCCATGTCATCTTCATGACAGTTGCCTTCTTTCAGGTCCCCATGGGAAAAGATGCTTTAATAAAAAAAAAATTATGTAGAATCATTTAGGATGGAAAGACTTTTCAGATAATCAAGTCCAAATATCAGACTGTTCAATTTATCAGAAGATCATAAAGCTTCTGAGATGTTCCAGCTGAACACTGCAGTACTATATTTGGTCTTCTCAGTCACACTTTTCACACTTGTGGGATTGGATTGTGGTTTCAGGTCAAACCACAGAGAGGGGCAAGGGGAGGAAAGAACAGTAATTTATATTCATATGAATGATACAAATATGTCTGAATTTTTAAAGAATGCCTGGTATAATTAGGATTTACTTCTAGGTCCTGTGACCTGTTTAGTTTTATGCCTCATGACTGAGGAGTAGTTAGAAATTTCAGAACTTGAGACTATTACAGTATTTGTCTTATTTCTCATAAAAGCAGTTTTCTTCTGTGTTTGCGCTGCATTCAGTCTTATGTTTTGTATATGGAATAATCAGGAAAAATATTCTGGAGACAAGTAATCCTGTGGTATTGCCTCTACTCAAACTGATGCTTTAAAAGGAAAGAAGTCCTGTCTGTCAAATGGTACCTACAGCATGCCATTTCCTGATGGGAAGTTGCAAATTTTTTATATATTTAGACGTCTCAGCTTTGCAGGACTCTGTGTGGGCAAAAAAAAAAAGTGTATAGGTCATGAGGTGTTTTCAATACTGCCTTCCAGACAGGGGTTTTTGTATTACAGCATTGCTCTGTGAGCTCTACTGATAGAGTACCCTCAGGCACGGTCCTGATTGGTGCGTGTGCTGAGTGATAGAGCTAACAGGTATCTGACAGCCCATGTTAACTGCGAGATATTTCCAAATACAGATGGCTATTTGGAGAGCCTTTTGGGTTTTGAGTGCTCAATGGGAAAAGATTTAAAAGCTGTGGGGGTGCACTTAGCACCCACAATCCTTGGTCACATTTGAAAGTAGCTGCGGTGATGTATAGTTTCCACTTCTAGACCCTTGATAAGCAGCCTACCCATCTGAGCATTACTTGTGCAGCAAAGAAAATAAATGATGGATTGTAATGTAGACAAGGCTTATAAAAACCAGGAGTTCCTACGGATCGGCGTGTACCGCTCCCGTGCCACCAACGCTGAGGGAAAGCCTTCTCCTTTTCTTTCCCAAGGTATTATTTTCAAGCTGCCTTCAAGTCGGAGCAGCGCTGGGCGCTCCGTTTCTGAGGACTTGTCCCTCCCTCCTGTGCTCAACTACACCATCCGAATGAGCAGCAGGATCACGCAAACCACCAACAGAATAAGGGAGCGCATCTGGACAGTGGGCCCGCACAACTCCACCTCCCAGAGCCAGATTTACAGCCGGGCCTTTATTTACATCCAGGACAGCATTGAAAGAGCCATTATCGAATTGCAGACTGGCAAGAAACCAGAGGAAATAGCTGTTCAAGTCCAGGCCATGCCTTACCCCTGCTACAATAAGGATATGTAAGTTTGTGTGGCTTTTGTCTTCATGCTTTGTGTAAGGTCACCTTGTCTGACCACGTTCATGTGACATGGAAATAATTTTGTTTTGTGGAGCATTTTTTTCAAGGCTCTGAATAAAAGAGGGAGTTTTGGACTCTAGTATAAATGGCCTGTGGTTAGTTGGCCAGATGTTTTGTTTTCAGTGCTCAGTGTGTACCTGAATTGTCACTGTAACTAGAGGTTTTACAGCAGGTAAAATTCACTGTCCCTGTTTTACTACACGTGGTGGAACTGAGACTGGAGCTGGCAGGACTTAGGCTAAATATGCGTCTTGGCTTGTTTTGGAGGTGTTTGCATGCAGACAGTGCAGCACAACTTAGAAAATGTATTTACTAGGGAAAAAAACCCAAGCAGCACCTAGGTTTATGAGCTTTGTTCCTAGAGACTGCTGTTGAGCTGTGGTATTTGTTATTCATTCCAGTGACTCTGGCTGATGTTCAGCATATAGTGGCTAGTTGTCCATACAGGTGCCTCTCAGACGCTTTAAGAAAGATAAGTGGGAAGATGAAGTTATACCATTCATCTCTGCAATAATGAGGGAAGAGAGAGAAGCTTTTGATACACTGAGTTGCCAGGGTTAACAGCCTGCCATACAAAGCAGTGCAGCATGAACTCCGTGTGGACCAGAGTAAGTTTTGAATGGTGAAGCAGATTAAAAATTTCTGGATCATCTTCCTCTCCACTAATCTTGAGCCAGGTCTGCAACTAGTATAAACTGCATCTCTGCCAAACACAACAGAAAGCAGCAAATCTCTTGCAGCTGAGGACCAGCCCCTCTGGCAAGGCGATTTTGGTCTGCGTTGGAAAGCTGGCAACATGGTTCCTCAGAGTTATTACCCTGACCACAGCTGGTGGCCAAACTGAGTGGAAATCATGCAGAGAAGGAAGGGCTTTCAATGTCCATCAGAAAGCACTGAAAGATGTTAAGAAAATAGTGTTGGTAGGTTGAATGGTCATTCTGCCATGATGCGAGGGTCTCCCTTGGACCAAAAGGACAGACTAGACCTCAGAGCTCTTTCCATTGTAAAGCCTGCGTGTCTACTGCATCAGCTAAAATGTTCTCTGGGAGCTACAGGAGCTGTAGCAGACCCGTTAATCTCCTGTGTCAGCCTGTCATGTGAGAGAGCTGGAGACCTAGAATGTCTGCTCAAGGTAACAGCATGCAAAGTGCAGTGCGCATCCGTAGAATCATAGAGTGGTTTTGGCTGGAAGAGACCTTTAAGATCACTAGGTCCAACTGTTAATTGAGCACTGCCAGGTCACCACTAAACCGTGTCCCTCAGCACCACATTTACATGGCTTTACAATCCCTCCATGGATGGGGACTCCACCACTGCCCTGGGCAGCCTGGTCCAGGCTGTGACAACCCTTTTGGGGAAGACATTTCTCCTAATATTAAACCTAAACCTCCCCTGATGTAACTTGAGGCTGTTTCCTCTGGTTCTATTGCTTGTTCCTTGGGAGAAAAGACCAACCCCCACCTAGCTACAGCCTCCTTTCAGGGAGTTGTTGAGAATGAGAAGGTCTCCACTGAGCCTCCTTTTCTTCAGGCTCAACAACCCCAGGTCCCTCAGCTGTTCCTCAGAAGACTTGTGCTCTAAAACCTTCCTGAGTTTAGTTGCCCTTCTTTGGACACACTTCAGCCCTTCAATGTCCTTGGAGCAAGTGGCCCAAACCTGAACCCAGTGTTTGAGATGTGACCTTACCAATGCTGAATACAGTGTGACAATCCCTGCCCTAGTCCTGCTGGACACACTAGAGCTGATTTAAGACAGGATGCTGTTGGCCTTCTTGGCCACCTGGGCACACACTGGCTCACATTCACTTGGCTGTTGACCAGCACTGCCAGGCCCTTTTCCATCAGGCAGTTTCCATCCACTCTTCTGCAAGCCTACAGGACTGGCTGTTGTTGTGACCCAAGTGCAGGATCTGGCACTTGACCAAACCAAGTGTCAACTTCTTGCAGCAAATACATGGATTATTGCTGTGAGATAGTTTTGTACAATCACTAACTGGCTGCTGGAGACACTTACTACAGCACTACCTGCTTCACTTCTTGATTTTGGGCTGCTGAGGAAACCATTTGCTTTTGGGTTTCCATCCCCGTCCTGGCTTCAGAGGGACGGGAGTTTGCTCAATTACTAAAATACCTAAAGGCTTTGGATTTGCATCTAATAGAACTCAAAATAACCGTTTATGGATTGTTATCACATAATATACCAGTACACAGAAAGTGTTGGGAAATGCTGAATTTTTAGTAGCCTAGAGATCATGTGCACGGTAGTATCGAAAACCACCCAAACAACAAAGAACAACTAAAGCTACAGAAATGCCTTTTCATCATCCTTTATAAATACGGAAGCATTTAATAAAAGCGCTGGTTTATGGGAGATTTTCAGCTTTGGTGGTAAAAAAACCAAATGTAATCATATTGATTTCTTACTTTTATTGTACATTAAACTTGCCCCAGGAATAACAGTGATTTTTTGTTGGTTTTTTTTATTTTTTAGCCAGGTTTAGAAGTGAGGGAGGGAAGCATAAGCCCAGTAGATACACTTAGGTGAACCTCTTGCTATAAAAATTTGCTTTCCATCACAAAAAGAGAATTTTACTCTTGGCCATTGTTGACTTTTTCCTGTACACTTTTGGCACAGGAAGAAGGTTATAAGTGAGTGAGTAGCCAAGACTTATGAAGCCCATGTTGTAGACCTGTGCCTGCAGTACCTGTCCTGTAGGGTAACAGGGACAGACATTCAGAGGGGAAGCACCTGTATCCAAACTCTGGCACCAGAAAATATGGCCTGGTAACAAAATTTGGCCATTATTTCCATTAACAGAACTGGGAATTATGGCTGTGCTGGGGTGGTTCAAAATGGGATGCATCCCATCAGAGAGCCAGGAGATGGCAGTTCCTGCTCCTGCCAGTGGTGCTGCTGAGCAAAACTGCCAGAATGCCTCTGGAAATCCCTCTGGGATTTGAGAAAAGAAGAAAGATTTTGAACAGTCAGGAGTTTCATGAATAGAAAATCCAATGCACTGGCAAAATAGCCTTTTTTGTAATTATTAATTATACTCCACATTTTGAAATATAAGCATGTCTTTTTTCTGTGCCAAAGTATTATTCTGAAAAATATATTCTGTATAAAGCCTTAATCCCAAGAACATTTCGTATTCAGCTAAAGCCTGCATTTGCCTTTTACAGGTTCTTAACCAGCGTGACCTACTCTCTTCCATTTGCTCTGATGGCTGCCTGGGTGCTGTTTATAGCTGATTTTGTTAAAACACTTGTTCAGGAGAAAGATCTGAGGCTTTATGAGGTACGGTAAAACTTCTGGGGCGTGCAAAATTATAAACAGATTTTCCTTATTAGTGGGTAGTATGTCTCACGTACAATATTAAATGGAGCAAAACAAGCATTAGGGAAAATAACATTGCAAATACTTATTGTTTGACCTGCAGTGTTTGAATTGTGACATTGTAAGCAAGCTCAAAACCAGAGAAATGCAGGGCGTTTGCCCTTCAAGTGCTGAGAAGATTGCTTTGCAGTTCCAAACACTGGAATCATGGGGCCCTCACAAAATTACAAGTTTTCTGAAGATTTAAAGCTCTTTAAAAATTGACTTTGAGTCATACCTGATGGGGATAAAGACATGAAAAGTGACTTATTTCCTATCTTTGAAGTTATTATACTTAATATTTCAGAAGGTGCTACATATTACATCAGCTCCCTGAAATGAAGTTCTTCATTCAGGTTGCCTGTTGGAAAAAAAATGACATTGAGACATAGGGAATTTGTGAAATGAACTCAGGCTTTCAGTGTCAACACAGTCAACAGAGATGAGCAGCAAAGAACTTTTGCAACACTAAGCTTCAGCAAGCAAGAGAAGCTCAAGCAGATTTGTTTTTTATCTGATACCATGGGAACAAATACTTATTCACCAAAACCACTTCCAAGACAGGGCACTCTATGAATATCAATACAAATGTGTGATTTTATACAAGTCTGGTGGACTTGATCATCAGCTAATATAAATGAGTATTGCTTCCATATAGCCATGGTTGTTTAGCTATTATTTGTTGTGTAAGGTTGTGTGAGATGGTTTGGTTTCAAAAATGCTTAAGGGCTTTTACACTCAAGCCACTGGATCGATTAACATTATTTTCAAAAACAACCAAAAATGCTTTAGAAAAGTTACAAGTCTAAAGCCAGAAGTTGCTTTGGAGCTTGTGGGCTGTGACACTTCATACTTGCAGATCCTGTCTGTGCTGTTCTTTTGCAATAGGCTGCTTTGCAAACCTTGGCCAGTCCAGAAATGTGAGTGTGAGGTTTCTCTTTGGTTATCAACATGCACTGTGCCAGAGTATGAAAAAGCATGGTTTGGCCGTGTGCCCTGCCCAGAAACAAACAAACAAAAAAAAGCGCCATTCAATATCAGCAGAAAGATGTCTTAATGAATAAGTGTCATTTGTGATTATTTTTTTCCACCTTTCTCTTTGTAGTACATGAAAATGATGGGTGTTAATGCCAGCAGCCATTTCATCGCCTGGTTCATAGAGTGTGCCATCTTCCTTCTAATTACTGTCACCTTCCTCATCGTTGTTCTAAAAGTGGGTGACATCCTTCCCAAGACAAACACAGTGCTCCTGTTCCTGTACCTTATGGACTACAGCCTGTCCATCATAGCCATGAGCTACTTCATCAGTGTTTTCTTCAATAACACCAACATAGCAGCCCTGGTGGGCAGTCTTGTGTACATCCTCACCTTTTTCCCCTTCATCGTGTTGCTTGTCATAGAAAATCATTTGAGTTTCTCTGTGAAGAGCTTACTGGTAAGTTCTGCTTTTCAGTGACAGGGACCATGTGTCCATGTGACCATGTGTGGACACAGACAGTCACCTTCAATAAGCTTCAGCTCTTATTATAGCTTGTGTCACAAATCTACGTGAGTTGGATGCCTTTCTAAATTCCGTCACTGGGTGTTGACAGGTACAACAGGAGAGTTTGCCATGGCCTGTTTGAGGGAGACCTGAAATTGGTTGTGTTCCATGACTGAAAGCAAAATTTGTGGAATTTTAATGAGTTCCCACCTGCCAGCTGAACCAGAGTAGCCTGAGCTATGTACTTTGCCCTTTCAAATGGCAAAGCAAAAGCACCATGAAAAATAAGGCTGTCTGGTTAAGAAGTTTAGGTAGCAGGGCTGTGAAAGAGGGCTGGCTCTGCTCATCCCTGAGTTTCATGAATATCAAATTCCTAGCCATGGAGATAGATGCAAAGCCTTGTTTCTTACCAAAGGTAGAAATAGATAAGCATTAGGTTCCAGAAGTCAGCCTGTATTTCAAAAGCCTAGAATAAAGCCCTATATGAGAGAGATGAAGTTGGCTCCTGGGTGTGGAGGTAAAAGGCAGGCAGCCTCTAAGCAGACATTACAGCCCATCATAAGCCTGGTCCAGTGCTCTTTGTGACTGTTGGAAAAAGAAACCCACTATTTTTTTCTGGCTACTGGACCAAGCCAATGAGGTGCCTGATCAGTTGAATGACTTGATTTCTTTTTGAGACTAATTCATAAGTTCTTTTTTTTCAATTTTGTCTATTCTACAGAGTCTGTTATCTCCAACTGCTTTCAGTTATGCAAGTCAATACATTGCTCGATATGAAGCACAGGGCATAGGTATGTTTACTGCAGACAAAACCAGGCTTTGAGCTCCTATGGTCATGACATTTCATTAACATGAATTCTATTTGCATTTCTAAATTCCTTTCTGCAGGTCTGCAGTGGGACAACATGTATAAGTCCCCAATGATTGGAGACAACACTTCCTTTGGCTGGATGTGCTGGCTCATTCTGATAGACTCTTTCATTTACTTCATTCTGGGATGGTATATAAGGAATGTTTTCCCAGGTAAGGATAAAAAGCATTGACACTAGCGCTGTACCATCTGTTTTGGGGAAAAAAACACCAAACCACACTGGCTGATTCCACGGTTCAGGCAGAGAGACAGTGCACACACAGGATACCTTGTTTTTAGATCAAATGGAGCATGGCTTTGTGAATTTCTGAAAGTATTAATGAAACTGAGACAGAGTGGAGCAAAGGAAGATGAGAGTTCCTCTCCTTGTCACGTGGGTAGGTGGGTCTCCTGCAGAAGCTGAGGCCAAGGGCATGGGAGGATGTGTTTGCAGTCTGCTTGGTGAAAATGAGAACAGAGCATGCTAGCCTGCATTTGTCAGTTGAGTGATTCTGTGTTGTGTTACTTACATCATTTGATTTCAAAAAGTAATTCCTGCCTTGGGCAAGAGAAAGTACATTTGTCTTTTGCTTTTCTTCCCCACCTAATGAAGCAGTCCACTGGCATACGGAAATCTACCCAGTGGAAAATGTAAAGTACTCCTGCCCTCCAGCTATGAAGTTACTCAGAATAACAAATTAGTGAATGTTTCCTATTGTGTCAATCAGACACATTCTCTACCAAGTTTCAGTAGTTACATGAGCACATCAAGAGGGGAGAGATCTCAGTGGAGCTGATTTTTGTTGTTCTGAGTGCACCCCAATAGCGATACTTCATCAGAAACAGCCACCTGAGTGAGATTCCTCTTCTCCTTGCAGGTAGATACGGCATGGCCGCTCCCTGGTATTTCCCATTGCTTCCATCCTACTGGGTCGAATACAACAGTTACCTCCCCTTCTGGAATGAGAAACGAAGAGGCTTTCCCCTCACCAAGCTGATGTTCAGGAAAGAAGCCACCCTCAACAATAAGATATGTATGTGAATGCTAGATGGGGTAGCAATACTAACTTACGTTTTAGGTAAACTAAGCCATATTTGTAAAGGGGCACCATACTCAGAAAGCACATTTCTGTATTGATCCTTATTTTGTGGCACAAGAGAAATTGGAAACTGTTACTTATCTGAATGGAGATTTGTCTTTTAAATTATACTTGTTCTTCCTATTTGGTGTAAAAATCCAGTACATATTTGTGTGTGCTGCAGTTGAGCGGTTACCTTGGGTGTGTGTATCTCATGCTACAGTGCTCTGTTTAGAAAGACATTTTTGTCTGTGCAGGCAAATACAAGTTTCCACTTGGCAAAAGGGATGTGTGCTCCTTGGTTCATCTCTTCAAATATTTAGCCTGTAACGTACTATGAGATCACACGTAAAAGCTTGCTGGTTCTACCTACCTGAAAATAAGTCAGCAGTTGCTGTACGTCCTCTCATTTTCTGTGCTTGCTTAGTATAAATTAGGTTAGGTGCTCTGAAACATCTAAATATGAGACCTTTTCAAAAGTGATTAATACTTATTGTCAGGAGTTATTAGAAGCTGCAGAAGTAAAAAGGAGAAATCCCAGAGAGCTCAAAAAATGATACAGATCCCATGAAATGTTCTCTACATTCCTAGCTGAAAGGCACCTACTTTTGCTGGATTTTGTATTTGAAAGCCCTGCTTATCTCTGAGGTGAAAAAAGCAGCACAAACACCTGCTGCAGTTCAGTAAGTGTCCTCTGACCCTTCCCTTTGGTGCCAAAGGTGCCTCCCCGCCTCATCTGGAACCAGAGCCCACCGATCTCACCTTGGGAGTCTCCCTCCGTGGCATAACGAAGGTTTATGGATCCAAAGCTGCAGTGGACAACCTCAGCCTCAACTTCTACGAAGGGAATATCACTTCCCTGCTGGGACACAATGGAGCCGGAAAAACTACAACCATGTGTGTATCCTTTAAAGCTGCTTTTTTCATGTACTCTGGGGCATGACTGGGTGAACAAGAGAGAGCAAGTGGGGTTGGGCAGCATTGGGAGACTGAATAAAGTACTCTATTAGGCCAAATCTCTCTTGTAGTTTTATCTTGCTCATGGATGATCTCAGCAGTCCCTTCATCTAATAGAATTAAAGGTTCTTTTCTGCTTATGAACACGCTTTTTAATCTGGTAGGATACCTGTAATACGCAGCACAGCAGCTGTTCTAGCGTTTTGTTCCATGACACTTTGGCACCTGGGGTTAGGTTTGTCTGAAAGCTGTGGGGAGCTTGTGCACACACCAAAGCTGAAAGTGGTATTAGCAAGAAAGCTTAATAAAGGTGTACTTCAGCTGTACAAATTCATGTGTTGGCTGGACTGGAATGGCAGTGGATTAATATATTGGCCTTTCAGCCCTTCCAGCCTTGTCATTTATAAATTATTGTTTGAGTTGTTAGATAACAGCACTAAACCATATCTGTAGAACTTGATTTCCCCACTGATATATATGTGCATTGCTCTGAAAGCAACATTAAGCTGATAAATAGAAGCCTCAGAAGAGCCAAAACCCAATAAGACAGATGTGTGCTTCATCTCAGCTTATTATCAATTCATCTCATATCCTGTTTGGAAAGTGTAGGCAAAGGTGATATGCAGAAAAGTATAATAGCTTCTCAAAACTTATTGCAGGCTTCAGATCCTGAGTAAGGTCACAAGTTACTTCTTTCCTTTTTAATGATGGTTAGAAGCCCCAGGAGAGAGAGAAGCTCTTGGAAGGTGAAGGGCAGCCTGATAAGCATCTTCTCCCTTTAGTCCATGCAGGACAGCACCAAAAATGACCTATAATGTGCAGATAGTAATTCTGAGACAGGGTATTCAACTCAGGTCTGTTGGATATTGCTGGGTATGTAATTATTTGCTTGAACTAGATGAAAGTGGTGCCCACTGTGAAGTGTCTTGTCTGGAAGTCCTCCCCATTTCCTGTTAATAATGGCAGTGAAATCAGGTTTTCATGCTCTGATGTGGTTAGTAAGATGAAGGTGTGGTTTTCAGGCTCTATTGTGGTTAGCAATACGAGGCTGTCTGCATACTGCAGACAAACCTCAAAGAATGAAGAGTAACTGCATTATATGAATTCCCAGTGATTAAACTGGAAGTTAGGGGCATTCATGAGTATTGATGTATGGGATGTGCAATGGTCTGACTTAGGGAGAGGAAGGGGCTGGAGAAGAAAAAAGTACACGTGCCAAAGTTCAGTGTGTGAGCTTCGTACTTGCCCTCGAGTTCCCATGGGGGGGGGTACAAGAATGTCCTTTGATGCTAATTGGCCACTGCTCTGCCAAAGCATGGTCAGACAGCAGAAGAAGCAGTGGTCAGTAGTCTCTGACTGGAAGTGTGACAGTGATGTAAGAATGCTTTGAAAGTGATGGTACAGGACCCTGTGAAAAAAATACCCATGGCCGCCTCCTTTTTCTAACTTCCTTTTCTATTTATTTTTCCCTTTCAGATCTATCTTGACTGGGTTGTTCCCTACATCATCAGGTGCTATCTTTGTGTATGGCAAAGACATCAGGACTGATCAGGAAGTTATCAGGAAGAACATGGGGGTGTGTATGCAGCACAACGTGCTCTTTGACTACCTCACCACAAAGGAACACCTGCTGCTCTATGGGTACATCAAAGTCCCTCACTGGAGTATACACGAGCTCTACCAAGAAGTGAAGAGGTATGAAAATAGCAGGGTTGGAGAAGGGAGAGAGGGCTGTCAAAATTATTGCGTGGTTGTGCCATTGCCACTGAAAAGCTCAAATGAATGGTTTTGAGGACTGATGCAGATCCAGTGTAGATTTCAAATAAAGCCTTGTCTGACTAGAGGAATATATTGATGTCTGTGGCTGTAAGGAAATGATGTCTCTTCTCCAGGGTTTTTACAAGCTTCTGCAGCAATTCTTTGGAGATGAATTTATACAGGCCTAAGGGTCTAGTCCTTGCTGCTTTTGCAATTTTCCCGAGAAAGAGATTTAATCAGCCAGTCAGAAAGATGATGTCGGCTTTATTGGTTCTGTGGAGAAGCAAAACAGCCAGAACATACCAGGGAGTTTGGATCTGGGTGTTCTCACTTGATGAGGTTGAGCCTTTAACCTTGACTTGTCAGATGGAAACTTTGAAAACATCCTAAAAAAATGTTTAAAATTAAAATCACAGTGACTGAGCTAAAGGGTGAATCATCTCCCTGCACTGTGACCATTCAGTAGATCAGTCCATACTTGAGCAGTTTTTCATTTGCAGTTATGGGTTTTTTGGGTATTTGCAGATTCCCTGCTTTTAAAAGTTGCCTGAAGGACAGCCTTTGGGGGTGTTTTTTCTTTGTTTTCAAGGACTTTGAAGGAGACTGGACTGTACAGCCATCGTCACAAGCTAGCTGGCTCCCTATCAGGGGGGATGAAGAGGAAGCTATCTATAGCTATTGCTCTCCTGGGTGGATCAAGGGTGGTGATCCTAGATGAACCAACCACAGGGGTGGATCCGTGCTCTCGGAGAAGCATTTGGGAAATTATCTCCAAGAATAAAAAAGGTACCGTGATGAGACAAGATGCTGCCCAGTGGCAAAGGCAATTCGTGTTACATTTGCAAATATGGTATCAGTGCCTTTGAACTGTGGGTTTTAGAGACCACAGAGAAGGAATTGTGGGAGACTGAGATTTTTCAGGCCCTCTAGGTGTATCCTGCTTAGTTTCTGTAAATTCAGTGTCATTTGAAAAGTAACTTTAGCACAGCACACAATGCACAATACTGTAACTCTCAGCTTCTCTCTAATGTTCCTTTTCATACAATTTCACCAATAATTGGAAAAACCACTGTGGATTTTCACCTGATACTGTGTCCCCTCATTCAGCGTAGCTTTAACCTGTCTCCTGTAATCGTGTGGGTTTATTCTGCGGTGGCTGACATCAGCTTTGTGCTTTCCAGGCAGAACCATCATTCTCTCAACTCATCACTTGGATGAAGCAGAAGTTCTGAGTGATCGAATCGCCTTCCTAGAGCATGGAGGGCTCAAATGTTGTGGTTCACCATTCTACCTCAAGGAAACTTTTGGTGATGGATACCACCTGACACTTACAAAAAAGAAGGTTTGTGTCTGAGCTGGCCCTAAATTTTCATCATCTTGGGTGGGAAGCTGAATCAGTTGTAAGGGCTATGAAGATGCTCAGGGGTAGGAGCATCTCTGTGACAAGGAAAGGCTGAGAGACTTGGGACTGTGTAGCCTGGACAAGAGAAGATTGAGAGGTGATCTGATCAAAGCTCATCAATATTTAAAGGGAGAGGGGGTGCTAAGAGGGTGGGGCCAGTCTATTTTCAGTGGTGCCCAGTGACAGGATAAAAGGCAACGGGCACAAACTGGAACCCAGGAGTTTCCATCTGAACAGGAGGAGAAAATTCTTTCCTGTGAGGGTGCCAGAGCCTGGACCAGGCTGCCCAGAGAGGCTGTGGAGTCTCCTTCTCTGGAGAGATTCCAAACCTGTCTGGACACAACACTGGGCAACCTGCTCTGGGTGACTCTGCTTTAGCAGGGGGGTTGGATGAGATGATCTCCAGAGGTCCCTTCCAACCCCCACCATTCTGTGATTCTGTGAAGGAAGGAGGCATATCATAGTGACTCATGTAGCAGCATACTACAAAAGTCCATCTCAGTCTTAGATGGCTGCAGTGGAATGGTCATTCCACTATCATTTCACTTTTGTGGCAACCGATTTATGTTCAAGTGAAAGTGGGATGTGTTTTGGGTTGAAACCCTTGGTTTGGGCCACACAGGTTCAAGAATATGCTTGTTTCCTTGGGCTGCCAGTAAGATAATTTTTGCATATGCCTCAACCACTGAAATACCTGGGCTGCAGTGCACTCTGTTCTCCAGCTCACGCTGCCTGACCTATGGTGGAATTCACATGCTTTTAAATAAATAATAATAAATTATTTCCCTTCAGACAGCCTTACAGGCTTGGAGACTTCCCCAAAACACAGGAGTCTTAGCTTCAGCCCCTCTACACAAAGCTTTGCAGCTCTAACAGACAAGGCAGAGGTCTGAACCCGAGGCTCCTGTGTCCCAGGTGCATGATGCAGTCCTTTCTATCCTCCCTTCCCTGCTGAGCCTTGGCTCTCTTTCGTGTCCATGAGCATGGTCACTGCAGCAGGCACTGCTGGGGACAGAGGCAGAGATACTCCTGTTTGCAAGCCCACATGAAGCTAAGCTAGAGCTCTCAGCAGCTTCAGCTCTGAGGGGGGCCATCAAGGCTTGTTCAGGGATGCAGGCACTTATGACTGTATCAGCAGGAGCTGCGTGACAGATCCAGGGATGATGGTGGTACCAAAGAACTATTGAGGAGATGGACGTGAGCACGATGCTTCTCGGTGAAGGATGCTAACAGAGCCTGTAGCCCCCACTTCCCTCGAAGCAGAAGGTTCTTCAGCAGGGACACTGGACCAGCCTCCCAGGCCCTAGGAAAACAGGAATGTCTGTGCTTTGCTTTGTTGAAAATGTGCAGGGTCTCCATGAGGGTTAAAGGCAAGGCTGGGTGCAGAGTGTGAATTCTGGTGTTCAGAGGAATAAAGCAGATAGGAAAAGACCATCTGAGGCAAAATGTTCTGCTGGCAAGGAGTGTAGGGGAGGCGGGAACAACTGTGGTCTTGACAGCATTTATTACAGTGCTGTTGGTAGCCCCAGCATACTGAATAATGTGCAGATACCATAAGAGCTGAGCTTCTCTTCCAGATTGCTGGCAGTATAGGTAGAGAAAATGAAAAAAGACCCATGTTCAAGCCCCATTTTTTGTGGGTAAAAGTGTATTTGTGCTGGCAGCCACATTCAGGTGTTGGCTCTTGTGGCTTGGCTTTTTCTCTGTTGTACTGCAAACCCTCTAGCTAGTGCAAAGGGGTTGATTCAGCTGAATTCCAGTATCCCTGTGGACAGAAGGAGCCCAGGGGGGTCTTGGATGAAACGAGATGGGCACAGTGCCACACCTCCTGCTTCAAGGGCCAGAAATCGACTTTCATCTCCTTTTGATATTTAACTTGAAATGTTGCATCCCTGGACTGAGATCCGCTACTGATTATGCGCCGGGACAGGATCTGGGCTACATCCTCAGTAGGAAATTTGACCTCGCAGCCCTGTCAGTGACCATGGGGTGTTTTCCTCCTTTTTCAGAACATGATAGAAGAGTGTGACACTACAGCAGTGACCTCCTTGATCCAGTCCCACCTCCCAGAGGCTTATCTCAAGGAGGACATTGGTGGAGAGCTTGTCTATGTGCTTCCTCCCTTCAAGTCCACTGTCTCAGGAGCCTACCAGGCACTTCTCAGAGCCCTTGATACCAGCTTGAGTGATCTCCACCTTGGCTGCTATGGGATTTCAAACACAACTGTGGAAGAGGTACGAGCTCAGGATCTGCTCAATTTATTGAAATACCATGGAGATTAACTTCACAGCACTGCATATCTCCACTTTCTGGCATGGTTTGGATGTGAGAGTTGCAGGCAGGGGAAGTGGTTTGGTTATGCATTGTGTTACACTTACGAGCATGTGAGTGTGAAGATGTATTCCTAAATCTATGCATAGACCCATGCACAAGGTGTACCACTGTCTCACCTTGCTGACAGCTTTTTGGCATCTTACCCAGAAAATGAGATGCTGGATTAGACTACGGAGAGAGAGCAATGTTGTGTTTCTCTGAACTATTCTCATGGCCTCCACAAATCTGGATTTGCCTACAGATGCAGTCAGCAGGGAGGGAGTTAGCAAACCACCAAGTGATGAACTTCAGCACAGATGCTGTATTGTACAAGTGGGTCACCTGGTGCATTTTGGAGTAACAGGCACCTTTCTGCTCATGGGAAGTGTCTGGTCAAGTAAACACAAGCATTTAGTTGCATTAGAAACAAAAAAAAATTATGAGTAGCGATGCCTCTTGTCTTGCAGAAAGCAGGGTGGGAGATTGTTACCTTTGCACTCAGAAATCCTTGCTTGCTTTTAAGGTGTTTTTCTAAGGCAGCAGGAATGAGTTACATGG